CAAACATGAGGCCTACCCTCATATTTTTCAATTTTTGTTAACTCTGCCATTTTAAATGGAGCTTTTAACTGTAGATTTTTTGGTTACGCAAACTTCGGTCTCTGTAATTCATTAATAAATAATTTCAATATTTATATTATTAAACCTGGAATGAAGCTACTAGTACTCTCGTATTCGGTCATGGTTTTTATTCCCTCGCGTTGTACAAAATGAAAACATCCCTGCATAATATTGACGCGGAAAACAAAAGCAAAGGAATTAGCTTTAAATACATTACTTTTCCCTTAGCGGAGAATTAAGTCAAAAGTACACCCCAATTAAAAATTCCCATTTATAATTAGAAGGAATTGTTATGTAAAAACAATTCTACACGTTTAGAATATATTTATAAAGAAAACTTTGTTTCGAAGTTCTAAAGCTTTTTCAAGCAAATTATAAAAGCATTAAAGTTAACATGGGCCAAACTTTTAAAAGCTAATGGTGGGTCGATTGGAAGCTTATCATACGGGGTGGGTTTTATAAGTGTACCTAGGCATGGTATTGGAGACTTAACTTCCATAGAAAATCCATGTTTAGGGACCCCCGCAATATAAGAGTGCTTTACATGCTGGTATGAATGACTTTAAAAATTTCGCAAACCTTGAATGTAGACGGAAATTTATTAATAAAGGGTTGTTTAAGGGTTGGTTACAGATTATTTAAACATAATCTATCAAAGAAACAAAAATGTTCAGTGTACTACGTAAAGTAACAACCCCCGCAATATAAGGGCTTTACATGCTGGTATGAATGACTTAAAAATTTCGCAAACTTAATGCAGACGGAAATTTATAATTAAAGGGTTGTTTAAGGGTTGGTTACAGATTATTTAAACATAATCTATCAAAGAAACAAAAATGTTCAGTATAGTACGTAAAGTAACAACCCCCGCAATATAAGGGAACTTTACATGCTGGTATGAATTACCTTAAGAATTTCGCAAACCTAAAGTAGACGGAAATTTATTAATAAAGGGTTGTTTAAGGGTTGGTTACAGATTATTTAAACATAATCTATCAAAGAAACAAAAATGTTCCGTGTACTACGTAAAGTAACAACCCCCGCAATATAAGGGTACTTCACATGCTGGTATGAATGACATAAAATTTATCAAACTGAATGCAGACGGAAATTTATTATTAAAGGGTTGTTAAGGGTTGGTTACAGATTATTTAAACATAATCTATTTGCGGTTTTTCGTCAGGTACATATTTATCACAATTTTATATTGCTTTTGTTCTATGACTACTATTAATATCCTTATCTACATTTATTATCACCGTGAACATATTATATGTGTATTGTGTGCTTTTATTTTAATGCATTCATAACGTAACCATGTGGAATTTAAGTAATCTAAACACGTCTCATTCTTTTGAAAGGCGTTTTTTACATTTTGCTTTATTTGTTCTCTTGTTCTTATGTTTATTATGTTTTTGTGTTTTGTCTAATTTCACTTCCGTATCATGCTCATCATTTTGGTATAAATTTTAATTTATATTTCGGCATCCCGTCCAAAGATGTTATTTATAATTTATTATTATACCTCAATAAAAATACCAAGGACATTCTCGAACCATGCCCACCTTCCGAATTTCTCTTTGGATCGGATCTTTGCGAGAAAGTCAAAGCAGCTAAATCCTTACAAAACGCTTGTCAGGACCCTAAGACTGCACCAACCCCTCTCAACGCTACAAAACCACTAATCAGAGTGTTAGCTATAAGGGTAAGAAAATGGAAGAGGGGAAACAGAGACAACAGCCGTACAACAGGCAGTTAAACAGATATCGCCCGACCCACCGCAGGGGGGTGGAGTCACACAAAGGGCATATCCCGAAGGCTCGACAGAGGGACAATTACCGGAGGAAAAACTAAATTCGGTAAGTTATAATCCTTTCGCAGGTAGACTTGCCCTTTTTCGAAAAGAGTGGGAATCAATAACGAGAAACGGAACTATTCTTGATTGGATTTTGGGCTACAAGCTACCACTTTCCAAAACTCCCGTGCAAACTTATCTCCCACAGGAGAGAACACTCCCCAAAAAAGACCACGATTCTATGCAAGTGGAAATTCTTAAACTCCTGCAAAGAGGGGCGGTGGTAAAATGCGAGCCTACGAAGGACCAATTTATTTCAAGTATCTTTCTGGCGGACAAGCCTAATGGCGACAAACGCTTTATACTTAACCTAAAGCGATTTAACAGCTTTATAGACGTTCCTCACTTCAAAATGGAGGACGCGAGAACGGTGCGTAGGTTGATCCAGAAAGATTTCTTTTTATCCACTATTGACCTGAAAGATGCATACTTTCTCGTAGCCATCGCTCCGGAAGATCGCAAGTTTCTTCGGTTCTCCTTTAACAACACTCTATACGAGTTCACTTGCCTTCCTTTTGGACTGGCTTCGGCACCTCATGCTTTTACTAAAGTTATGCGGCCAGTCGTGCAAGAACTTACAGCCAACGGCATCTCTTGCATTAACTATTTAGATGATTTTTTAATTTTAGGGGAAAACCGTGAAGACTGTCGCACGAAAACCTCTTCGACCATTAAGCTACTAGTAAGGCTAGGATTTGTAATAAACTGGGAAAAAACAAAACTAGAACCATCTAAGACGTGCACCTTTTTGGGGTTTGTTTTCCATACAGACACTCTAAAAATTTCGCTACCTACCGAAAAAAGGAACAAAATAGTACAACTGATTAGATATTTTCGAAATAAAAAACTTTGTAAAATTCGTGATTTTGCAAGTTTTATCGGACTCTTAGTTTCAGTATGCCCAGCTGTGAAGTACGGCTGGGTATACATAAAGTTCTTCGAAGCATATAAGCTAAAGGCTTTGAGAGAGAATAACATGGACTTTAATGCATCCATGCCCGTTCCGGAGTCCTCAGATTTTGATTGGTGGGAGAAAAATATCTACGGGGTCAATAATGACCTCACTCGAGAATCCTTTGATTTCGAGATTTTCTCGGACGCATCGTCCACAGGTTGGGGGGCATGTTGTAGGAACAAAAGGGCGCGGGGATGGTGGTCGGCAAATGAACAATTACACCATATTAATTTTCTGGAAGTCCAGGCCATCCTCCTAGGGCTAAAATGTTTCGCTAGAGTCGTGCTGTAATTCTCAGATGCGACAATACCACCGCAATCGCATGGGCAGTGTGCAGCACGAACACTTGAACAAACTAGCGAGGGAGATCTGGCAATGGTGCGAGGAGCGAAATATCTGGATATTCCCTTCCTATATTAACACCAAGGATAATTGGGAGGCGGATGCCGAATCTCGCGCTCTTCGCCCAGAAACAGAATGGTCCTTAGCGGACTCGGTCTTTGAGAAAATTAAAAGCAAATTGGGAATACCGGATATTGATTTGTTCGCCTCGATAGCTAATCGCAAATGCATAAGGTATGTCTCTTGGCAATCGGATCCAGAGGCAGTAGCGTGCGACGCCTTTACTCTATCCTGGAGTAACTTAAATTTCTACGCTTTTCCTCCTTTTTCAATCATCCTAAGAGTATTACAAAAAAATTAACACAGACAACGCTAGGGGTATCGTGGTAGTACCATACTGGCCTTCACAACCTTGGTTCCCGCTCTTTGTGAAACTGGCAATAGGCAAACCTCTTTATTTCGGACCGGACGTTAATATGCTTTTATCCCCTTACAGCCAGGAAGCCCACCCGCTTGCATCCAAACTTACCCTGGTAGCATGTCGGTTATCCGGAAAGCACTAACACTACAGGGTGTGCCGGTAAACGCCGTCGATACTTGTCTAAACTCTCTTTCGGAAGCTACTATCGCACAATATGGAAGTACATTCAGAAATTGGTGGAATTTCCGCGAAGCTTCAAGAGACGACGTTTTTCAGGCATCAGCCCAAGAAGTGATTTCTTTTCTACAACACATCATTACCACAACAAAATGTGCTTTCGGCACAATCAACTCGTACAGGGCAGCGCTGTCATTAATTCTACCAGGAAATCTAGGTGAGGATCCAATGCTCAAGAGATTTATGAAGGGGGTGGCAAGGTTAAGGCCACCAAAACCTAGATATAACTGCGTTTGGGAACCTAGGCAAATTTTTAATTACTTTGAAACACATCCAGCGGAATCTCTAAAGCTTTGTCCATGAAGTTAATAACCCTCCTCACATTAGCAACGGGACAAAGGTTCTCCCTTATCAAAATATCAAACATCTTAACTTCTGAGGATTTAATTCAAATTGTAGTTCCAGACAGGATCAAAACCTCCAGGGTAAGCGGACGTCAACCTTGTTTAATTCTTCCCAGATTCAACGATCTTCCCCATCTCTGCGTTTTCTCCTGCCTACAGAGGTAGGTACTTACAGGAGACTGAGAAATTAAGAGAAGGCCAAGAAAATCTGTTTTTAACCTACCAAAGGCCATATAGAACCGCTTCAAAACAAACCCTGAGTACATGGGTGAAGTGCACGCTGCAGTTAGCGGGCGTTGATACAAGCATCTTCAAACCCCACTCGAGTAGGCACGCGTCAACATCAGCTGCAAAAAGAGCAGGGGTTTCTATAGATATCATTAAGGACTCGGCGGGTTGGAGCAGGAGCTCCAACGTTTTCGCTGAATTCTACAACCGCCCTCTTATAGATAGAAGCGAGTTCGCTCATAGTATTTTCAATATGTAAAAGCAATACAGTTACTATTAGTCTTAGTTTTGTCTTCCTCATTAAAGATGATTTTACTTCGGGAAATGTACGTAATTCAAACTGAAGTAGTTATCTTTAAACATCCTACGTTGTTAAATAAATAACATCTTTGGACGGGATGCCGAAATATAATTCTACGATCAAATGAACTTACCTGAAGTTCGATCGGAATTATATGAGGCATCCCGTCCAAAGATGTTACACCCTCCACTCCCTCCCCACAGTTTGAATTACAAAGCGCTTTATTTAAACTAATGACGACTTACCTACCTCTCCTAGCGCGGCGGATCCAACGGAGCATGCGCTCGTTTGGTCTTTAAAAAATTGTGGAATTGAGCACCTAAAGGCGGACTACGTTGTTAAATAAATAACATCTTTGGACGGGATGCCTCATATAATTCCGATCGAACTTCAGGTAAGTTCATTTGATCGTAGAATTATTAATGTTTGTTGCATTGCATGCTCTTGGTCTGAAGTTAAATTATGTAATTGAAGGCTCCGTGGCATTCAATTTGCATTTCAATCTTAGTACAATTGGCTAGACCACCAACAATACACATTTCTATGAGATCAACCGTGTATCTATCCTTCGCTGTTTTACATATCTTCCTTCTTTATTGTTAAGCACAATAGACCATGTGTAATGATCAAGGATGAATTATGTAACCGAGAAGCTGTAGTAAATAGCAGAATGAAGATGCACAAATACCTGTTTCTTTCACTGCGTTTTTCTATGACATCTCCTGATTCTAAGGTAATAAATGTAATAATATTTTTAAGTGGCGTCGCGTTTCCAAATTGAAGCTGTACGTTTTCCTGGTCTCATTACCATGGATGAAGAAAAACGCCTTATGCCGGGATTGACCTCGATTTTCAACTGTAAGCTTGAATTTTCTGGACGAGGGGCAAGTTACCTACCTCCGTGGCGAGATCCTGCCAACAAAAACTCTTCGGTTTAGAATGTAATGTATTTTCCGTCCAGTTTCTCACACAGGACTTTTATGAACCATAGATTATTATTCACATCCTGTGCACTTCATCCTTTCTCAATTATACCTGCTATACATGTACTATAAACACAAAAACCGATTGGGTGGTCTAGCCTACTCTGGCAAAAACTGGACCTTTCGTCGAACCCAACCTTCTCACGAAGATTCAGCGTGTTATTAATTACTGAAATAAGCAAAGGCGGTGACTGCTGGACTAAAATTTAGACTAAAACTATCATGTGAAATTTAATGCATCAGTTGAAGTTTAAAATTATCTAAACCTCCAAGTGGTGGCAAGGTCTATTTCTTCATTTAAATCTCAATTTGCCATTTTCAAACTTGAAATTTAGAGATTTAGAGAATCAGATTACCTCCTTTCTTAAAAAGATATATTTAAATTTCAATGCTTTTCATCCTCGTTATACGGGCCTTAAAAAAACGAATCAAATGTTAGGATCCAAGTCCTCAAACTTCCTATTTTCTTGGTACACTAGTACTGAGTGTAGTAGTGTCCTTGAAGATATAATGATTTCGTATGCTCAACAATGCTACTGAACGAGATGAGATGGATTTTGTCATAGAAAAACTAGGTGAGAGCATCTAATAAGAGGTACTTATTTTCGTCTATTATTGAAAACCAATATAGAATGAAATAAAACTAGAGATTGCCACAGTTTTTGTTCACAGATATCACTCTATTAGGTAATCAACCGTCTGAAAAAACTTAGATTAGATAAATTAAAACGGAGCACTTTGCACTGAGCTATTCTAGTTTGTAGGATCAGTGCCTGCAATCAATATGAGTGAAAAGCATTTACGAAAGGGTAAACTGGTTTTTTTACCTATCATTTTATAAAGGTCTCAATTACAGGTAGTAAGTTCCCCCAAAAAGAGAATGGTCAGCTGCGATTGTATTCCACGAAATACTGCCCCTATGCGCAAAGAGTGCGCATAGTACTGGCCCTAAAGGATATTCCGTACGAAACAGTGAACCTACACTGCTTTGATAAACCCGAATGGATGTACGATTTGAACCCCGCAGGTATGCCTAGGTTTACAGTTTGAGATTGTAACTTTGCTTAAAGGGTTGGTGCCTATATTTGACACCGGAACCGAATTACTAACTGAAAGTCTCAAAATATGCAACTACCTGGAGAAAGCCTTCCCCAAACCAAGCTTGCCCTTAAATGAGCGCGATGCAACTCTTCTGGCCGAGTTTGATGCCTTACTGGCATTGTTTTACAAGGTCGCCAATAACCCGGACCTTGGCGACTTTCTTCAACTACTCAAGCACGTCGAGAAATACGAGGGTGAGCTGAGTAAGCGAGGTGAGTGCCGGCGAGGATCTACGGGTGGTACAACATTCGCAGTTTTCAGGAAAGTACTTTGGTGGCGATGAACCGCGCATGATTGACTTTATGATTTGGCCGTGGGCCGAACGAGCCGCCATGTTTGATAAGCTGTTCCCGGAACATCTACCGGCGCCGGATGCCTTGCACAACTTACGCGCTTGGTGCGCGAGGATGCGCCAGCACCCCACGTTACTACAGCTCAGGACAAACGTAGAGTCGCAGATAGAAATCTATGATCTGGTTCGGGCCGGAAAACATAAAGAGATTGACTTTGATATCTGAATAAATTGAGTACTTCTTCACTTTGGTCCTTTAACAATCCTTACAACTGATGCACCTAGATACAATGTCAGAAGCTTTGCAGCACATTTTGGCGCCAAGCATAAAACAGCAAGTGCGTTTTCAGAAAATATATGATCAGAAGATAAGGACCAAAATGGCTACCCACATTTCGTTGGGAATTGAATTGAAAGAATTGTTTTAGAATTATACGCGAAAATGTTAGAAAATTGGGGATAGAGATCCTGGAAAAGCGCTTAGCATACCTTTTAGAGTCAAGAATTTGAGCACTAATCACTTGAAACTTTACCACTTAAGACTTAACCTTCAATGTGCAAGATTCTTGCTTAACAAATCGAATTTTAGAATGTAAAGTGCCATATTTCATTCAATATGTTGACAATCTATGGTCAAACTTGAAATTAACTCGTTAATCCGTTAATCCTGAATTCACGACGTTAATGATTTACTTAACGGGTTAACTTTCAAGTTAACATCAACGCTTCTGTTAACTTCCGTTAATTACTTCGATGCATTGGATATTTGTTGATTTTCATTATTTGAAGTATGCGCCGCGGTTGTACGTTCAATGATAAACTGATAATATATGAGTAGTATCGTACGTATTACGTTATTTGAGCCAAATAAATGTGTTTGATTCTTATTCTACTTCTACGTTCTACATTATCAAAAACATTCAATTATCCATTTGTTTTTGTCCTTTTGATCTGTTTATTTCAAACCAAAGTACATATAAGATTTGTACAATTAACTTAAATAGCTTGCGTTAAATTTTTGATAAGTTACATTTTAACGATTATCGAAATTAACTTTTCAATTAACGGATTATCGGTTAACGAAGTTAATTTTCGCTCTAAGACTCTCTTCTAAAACTCAAAAGTCAAATTTAACTTTATCTGATGATTGAACCTTCACATATAGGGTTTCAGGTTTAAAAAGAGCCGTGCTTGATACTTTAGGCTCAAGAATGATAATGATATTCAATTATCTTAATTAGGGCCTATTTGATTACAACTGCAAATTGGGCATTAAATCATTTTCTGGATCGTGAAAAGACGAATAATTTCAGTGTGAAGGAGCAATCTCTTTCTCCTTTGTTTCAGTGGGAATAGCCTGTCCGATTGGCGCGTTTAAAAACATGGTAAGTAGAAACTGTGCAGTTCAGATTAGTAATTTTTTCGGCGACAGTCATCTAATAGTTCAGTTTCGTCGCTAAATAAAATCATTCGGAGCTTGTCTTGGGTGAAAGTCCGTGTTTTTCGGGCATAAAAAGGAACCCGGTGGTGGTTACGGGAATTTTGATATTGTTGGAACGTAAAATTTAACAACGCGAGTTACGTTAGTTACAGAAAAAAAGAGAAAAAACGTTGAAGTGAATCTAAGAGCAAGTAATAAACAGTTAACGTAGAATAAAACGCTCTCTTTCGGAAGACTCAAAACACCCATGCGCTGTCAAGGACAAACTAATTAAGCACGCCAGTATTATCGTTGTGCTGAAAAAGTTGTTGTTATGTCCCGATGTTGATCTACGTATTCGCTGATGATGATGTGTCGCTTGAGAATCTGTGAATTTGAAATTTGTGTTGAAAACTTCAGTTTGTTACTAAAATTTAATGAAAGTCAAGTAGGCGAGCTTGCGTATGGGAAGTTTTTCCTTTTAGGGCTAAATATCAACAAACATGTCGCATATCCTGGCAGTTGAAATTGGAATCATTCCCGCTTTTGTGCATTTCGTTAAACTCGAAAAACGCATCTGATGCGCCACTGGAAATTTCATCGCGATTATTAGCAATTTAAATGGAAGAAGGACGAGGACTCGCGAGTGGGTGCGCATGCTTTCACCTTCCTCACACGATAAAAGGAAGGTGCCGTTTTTTTGCTGAGGTGGCAGAACGTAGATCGCTTTTGGTGGTTTTTGGTGATTTGCAAATATACGTAAATGTGTTTTCTTTTGTCATTAGCATAGGGTGTATCCGTAGGGTTGGTTTTGTTATTTATTAGCGGGAGGTTTAGGATTAATATACAGGGTGTTAGGGTATATTGTAGTTTTCGTTGCGTAGTTAGTTAAAATGGACCTTTCCATAGGTGTAAGTGGCTTTCATTTGAGATTAATGTATATAGAGTGTTTAGATAATTTAGAGGATCTGGGAGATTTGCTGTACGTAGTTAGTGCTATGTAACTGTTCACATGTATTTTAGAGATGAATTTCTCCATTGTTATTGTTGTGGTTAGGAGTGTGTATGGCGTACAGAAAACAACAATAAATGTTTATGATTTTTTCTAATAGCAAAATTGGTATCTAAAAGTCCTAAACGCAAAAGTTACGCCCTGCAATTGATACACAATTATTACATTTAAACATAATCGATCAAAGAAACAAAAATATTTGGACCACTACAAAAATTACAATCCCCGCAATTAAAGGTATCTATAAATGTAAATGGGAATTTTTTAAATAATTACGTAAGTTTAAAACGAGAATGAAATTTATTTTAAGAGGGTAGTTTAGGGGTTGCTTATAGATCATTTAAACATAATCGATCAAAGAAACAAAAATATCTGGACCACTACAAAGATTACAACCCCCGCAGTCGAGGATTGTTATTTACGTAAGTGTGTATTTTCTAAAAAAATAGGTAAGTTTAAAACGAGAATGAAATTGATTTTAAGAGGGTAGTTTAGGGGTTGCTTATAGATCATTTAAACATAATCGATCAAAGAAACAAAAATATCTGGACCACTACAAAGATTACAACCCCCGCAGTCGAGGATTGTTATTTACGTAAGTGTGTATTTTCTAAAAAAATAGGTAAGTTTAAAACGAGAATGAAATTTATTTATAGAGGGTAGTTTAGGGGTTGCTTATAGATCATTTAAACATAATCGATCAAAGAAACAAAAATATTTGGCGCACTGCAAAAGTTACAACCCCCGAAATTAAAGGTAGCTATAAATGTAAATGTGAATTTTTTAAATAATTACGTAAGTTCAAATGAGAATGAAATTTATTTTAAGAGGGTAGTTTAGGGGTTGCTTATAGATCATTTAAACATTAATCGATCAAAGAAACAAAAATATTTGGCGCACTGCAAAAGTTACAACCCCCGCAATTAAAGGTTGCTATAAATGGAAGTGTGAATTTTCTAAAAAAATACGTAAGTTTAAAACGAGCATGAAATTTATTTTTAGAGGGTAGTTTCGGGGTTGCTTATAAGATCATTTAAACATAATCGATCAATGAAACAAAAATATTTCGACCACTCCAAAAGTTACAACCCCCGCAATTAAAGGTAGCTATAAATGTAAGTGTGAATTTTCTAAATAATTACGTAAGTTTAAAACGAGAATGAAATTTATTTTTAGAGGGTAGATTCGGGGTTGCTTATAGATCATTTAAACACAACCGACGAATGAAACAAAAATATTTCGACCACTACAAAGATTACAACCCCCGCAGTCGAGGATTGTTATTTACGTAAGTGTGTATTTTCTAAAAAAATAGGTAAGTTTAAAACGAGAATGAAATTTATTTATAGAGGGTAGTTTAGGGGTTGCTTATAGATCATTTAAACATAATCGATCAAAGAAACAAAAATATTTGGACCACTACACAGATTACAACCCCCGCAGTCGAGGATTGTTATTTACGTAAGTGTGTATTTTCTAAAAAAATAGATAAATTTAAAACGAGAATGAAATTTATTTATAGAGGGTAGTTTAGGGGTTGCTTATAGATCATTTAAACATAATCGATCAAAGAAACAAAAATATTTGGCGCACTGCAAAAGTTACAACCCCCGCAATTAAAGGTAGCTATAAATGTAAATGTGAATTGTTTAAATTATTACGTAAGTTTAAAACTAGAATCAAATTTATTTAAAGAGGGTAGTTTCGGGGTTGCTTATAGATCATTTAAACATAATCGATCAAAGAAACAAAAATATTTGGACCACTACAAAGATTACAGCCCCCACAGTCGAGGATCGTTATTTACGTGTGTGTATTTTCTAAAAAAAAATAGGTAAGTTTAAAACGAGAATGAAATTTATTTATAGAGGGTAGTTTCGGGGTTGCTTATAGATCATTTAAACATAATCGATCAAAGAAACAAAAATATTTGGCGCACTGCAAAAGTTACAACCCACGCAATTAAAGGTTGCTATAAATGTAAGTGTGAATTTTTTAATAAATACGTAAGTTTAAAACGAGAATAAAATTTACTTTTAGAGAGGGCTATTAACCGACGAGCAGCCGAGGCATATTAATATAATTATACAACAAGAACCACACCCAATTTAATTAACCAGAAGATGTAAGAGAAAGGGAAATTTTGTAACATCCGTTACAACACACCTAATAAACTTTGTTACTCCTACTTTGTAACCGCTTGGTTCAATATCAAAATAACCGTTTATTACTTCAACTTCTATAGTTATCGGTATCACTCTGAAAGTGACCACCGTTTACGTGTTAACATGTACTCTTATTCAATATTAAATATAAGTTAATTGATCGGTCATCTTCGTTTTGAATTTACTCAGGGGTATAACGAGGCGAAGAACACCGAACGACCACATTTACACACTGAGAGTAACCCACAAGGGGAGTTTCCACTACAAGCCACCATGGATCCATCTACTGTGTACACGCAGAAACTTTGGTGGGGTGATCATTAAAAACATTAAGCTAAGAATACAAATGGATTTCAGTGGTGGTTCAATTAAAACGATATAAATTAAACACGTGTCTTATTCGAGCACGGATTCGCCTAAAATTTATATCATCCCATTAAGTAGTGGTTTAATGAAGATCTTGCCGTGTCAGGTGGCAATAATCGCCAAGGTGCCTATTTAAATCTGTTGATGCTATACGCCCCTTTTCGCATTAGTAATGGGGAGTGCGATATAAATGCACAAAAGTGTTAAAGCAGACATTTCGTGCAACGTGAAGTACTGCTACCGCTATCATGCAACGCGAAAATCCTTCACACTTAATATACGGTTGGGATAATGACCGTATACGAATATCGGTCCAATCTTTCACTCGACTGTTACACTTTGACATGTTTATTTTGGCCTATAGTGCAAACGTAAAGAAGTTCTTTGTGTAATTTACACACCCTATCGTTTTTGTTATCGTTTCGACATAGAACCTGAGCCGTCCCAAACACGTCATTTCATTTTAAACGAGAAAACGTTTTGTAAGTTAATCCGCGTTGCTTTCAAATTGCACTGAACGCTGCAAATGTATGATAAAATAAAGCCATATTCAGCAAAATTGGCGCTTTTGTCTTTAGAGCAGTACACGACTAATGGAAACCATTCCCGCACCACTGAATTAATTCTATGCACAATAAAGTTCATTTTTAGACCTGCAACTATAGTTGTAGCCGTTACGTTGCATTAGCTACTGATTAAATTTGAATTGATTACGGTAATGGAAATAGGAGATTATATTAGATCCTATTAACTAAAACAAAAAATTAATGGATTTTGTTTTGCGCGACTTTGAACCCTGTCATATCGATCAGGTCATTTTGCAAACTACATGCAACGAGCTCTGGCAAACAAAGTTCTGGACAACTGGCAGGAGTTTTTGTTGCACTTTCAATTCAAGGTATCGGTTCTTCCACGATTTTATCATTAGTTTGATATCTGCAATTCTAGTGTCTCAAGTTATCTAACATATCGGAAATATAGGTGAGCGGATAAGCATCATTGCTACATTCTCAAAAATTAGGCAAAGTTACAGTGTTATATTGAGCGGTTGCTTTGGTAAAGCATGTTAGAGCAAATGAACTACTTTGTTATTCCAAAGTTACGGGGATAATTATTATGATCAGCATTAGGGTGGTTTGGCTTTCGAAACTATGTAAAGTTAATTACGTTTTTCATTGGCATAGTGCATCCTACAACTAACAGAGCAGTGGTAATATAATTTACTTGGAATTTCCTAACACATTTATCTTGATAAATTAGTAGCGCAATACATAATGTGTAATTTAGATGGTGGTGGCGGAATAATGGAATATCCTGTAGTTCCCAGATGAGTCACTAGCTTATGAGTGGGAAACGAAATAAGAAAATCAATAAAGGATGAAATTAACAACTAGGTCGCCCGCACGTAATAACGTTACAGCTGCTAATAACCAACTTTTCGCTAGGCTATTTTCTTTTAAGTTGTTCGATTTGCAAGAAATTATATTCTTCGTTCGATTCAAACCTCTGTATACCACCGGAATGAGCAATAAAGTAAATTGGTCTCCCTCACGTAATTAGTTTTATCAAGCGTGTCAATTCTGCAAAACCCCATTCAAGTTGCGATGTATACTTTTTAACATTGAACAAAAACACTATGTACTCGATGGTATTACGTATTTGCAAATGCGCCTCGAGCTGAGCCAAGATATGAGGCAGCTTATCTGTTGAAAAACCATCCGAAATCGCCATACTGAAGGTACTACCCGTGTTATCATTTTGGTTCTTGTAGCCGGATGAATTTTGAATTGCTAATACTAATAAACTAATAAGTCGACTTACCAAACGGTAACGGCCAGAGTATTTTGTGATCTTCTGACGCAACACTGATCACTACACACAGATCCGTCAACCGATCCGATACTACCCCTCGGCGGAGGCGTCGCGCAAACATGTCTACCGCCCGACTGTCCAACGTACTCGACGCTCGGACTCGAACACACACCATGTCGGCACTGTATTTTACCCGTTCGTAAATTCGGCGATACGTATCCAGTACACGAGGCGTCCTTCTTATCCGCGCGCGTCGTTATAAGATATCCGGCACACTGTACGTCCTTGTTCGGAAAATTATTGCACTGTATAGCTTTCTCTTGTTGGTATCCGTTAAGATTTTGGCACTGTACATCCTGTATATTACTACTACTGTTACTAATTAACTCCTTTTGCATCTCCTTGCCCTGGCTGGTAACGGAGCTACTCGAACTGGAGCAAGGGCTAGACTTGCACAACTGATAGCAATCCTGGTACTGGCAGCATTTCGTCCGGCTCGGCGTTCCCATGTAACGGATCCGCTGGTAGGGATTCTGCTGAAAGGGTATGGCAACTCGGAATTGCTGTTGGTAAGCCAAATCGCGACGCATGTACGGGTCGCTCGAGTTGACGACGTTCGACGCGTTGTACTTTGGGTATCTATCGTACGGGTAGTAGGGTTCCTGCTGTTGCGGGGTGTATCTTTCGACGGGCGTGTGGGGGTTTGGAGGGGCGGCGGTGCGTTCGCCGGCATTGAATCTATCTTGGATATTTACAAAGCGATCATTGTGCGCGTGTAGCGTTTGGTGGGGGGCCGGATACCGTTCGTTCGTACTGTAGTACTGGTTCCTTTCCTTGTACCTATCCTGTTGGTATTGGGAGTACCTATCCGTTGTGCCTGATGAGTTCGCGAATCTTTCGGCGTAGCGCTGCTTCTTTGGTGAGAAGGTTTCGGTTGGAGAGGGTGATAGTGGAGGAGGTGGCACGAAGCGTTCAGGTGCGGGTACGGGATTTGTGGGCGAAGGAAATGTGTTTGAAGCGTAACAGTCGGGGCTAGGTGTATTCGTCGGAGACAGAGGAGGAGGAGGAATAAATCTGTCGCTGGCTGGAGCCGGAGAGGGAGGGGCCATGTAAGGTACTTGGGTGAAAGTGATGCGTTCTGGTCGTTCTGTTCTCTCCTGGGTGGCGAAGCGTTCTGGGCAAGGGATGGGAGGGAATCTCTCTGACGAGTATCTTTCGGTTGCGTCGTGACCGTACCTAAAGTTTTCGGTGTGCGCTTGGAAGGTTTCGGAAGATTTTCGTTCAGATGATCTCGACCGTTCTCTTCGCTTGTACGCTTCAGATGTAACGTTTTGAGCAACTGAGTTAGAAAAATACTGATCTCGTTCGTTTTGAACCCTTCTATGACGATCGGTAGGCGTATGTCTGCCCAAGGTGTTAATATTTTGGGACGAATGCCTATCTGTGGTGCTATACGAGTCGTTACTTGCATATTTTTCAACCGGAGTGTACCTATCCGCGCTACTACTGCATCTTTCCTTATCAGTATATAAAGTGTGGTACCGGTCTGTCGGTGTATTAGTTCTAGAATACCTATCAGTATGTGCGCCGTGATTGTGATAACGATCCAAAGATCCAATATTTTGAATTGGTGTAAATCTATCTGGATATTTCTGGTTCCTATCCGTCTGTTGGTACCTATCGGGTTGAAAGTTAGAACGTTCCGCGACGGCATGACAATGATTCGCCGGTTGCGTAATGCGTTCGGTCGAAACGGTGGTTTGCATGCATTCACCAAGTGGATAACGTTCAGATACACCTTGATATCGTTCGCCCGACGGCAGCCTATCCGAACTACTCCTTTCGTTTGTGAAACGCTCCGCAACAGACTGAAAACGTTCCGGAGGCTCCAGCCTATCAACTGACTGCACCGCTTGCTCATTTTGGATTGCAGGCCGCTCCTGTTGAAAACGCTCTGCAGTTGGAGCAGTTTGGAAGCGATCACCAGATACAGCAGGAGCCGGAGAAGCGGAATGTTGAAGTATACTATGTCTTCGTCCATAGTCTTCGTCCGCAGGCATTCTGGAGGCCCTGGGCCCGCTGTCAGGACATCTGGAACAACATAAATATATCAGATTCTAGCATTTAGTACAATTTGTAACGAATATCCCAGCGTTAACGAAAATACCCAGTCTATGACTCGTAGAGCTTCATTAAAAGTAATTTGCAATCTTAGATCCATATTAAATCCCGTTTCAAAATTAAAAAAAATGGAAATAATACAACTTTCCGTAGCTTTCGAGCTATCTAAAACTTTTGAAACGCATTTCAGAGTACCTTTTGGAAAATACTTAGCTGCGGCGACTGAACGTAGGCAATTCTGCTTTGGGTGTGTACGTGCGTTTATTAAAGAATCGAGGTAATTCTTTTCTTTAATTGTATCATTTAATAATCAGAGTCAAGGTAATTGCTTTTGTTTATTTGCTGTTGATTTAATAGATGCTAGTTAATTGTTATCATAAATTTGAATTAGCAGGGCCTTTGTTTACAATTACGCAAGAATTGTGAATGAGTTAGCAGTAGCACTGTAGCAGGGGCATATCTGTCCTACTCTCGCGCATGCATAGAGCAGCCTATATATGTTTTGAATTTATATTAATGATCAGATGCCTAATGAGTGACAGTGATAGAAATCCCCCTTGCACTTATCTCTCTCGGCGCGCTACGTTTCTATGGCAGAGACCGGCAGAGCGCGTTCCAATTTAATTATAATTCAGTGACCTTAGAAGTTTCATTGAAAATGTCTCTTCAATTATGTTTTAAAAGTTGCAAATTTTGTTGCAATCTTTTGATGCCGGGGAATTTCCCTTAGCTTAGCAAATATTACCATATCTTCACTACAGTGTGGATTCTATTATTTGTTAGGAATAGGTTTTAGGGTATCTTGAAGATTTTATTGTTATACGTACGTCCGGGGTTTTGTTTGTTTTATGTGAGGTGTAAAATATTTGTTGAATTCGATCCTGTATTGCCATAATCTTTTATTAATGAGTAATTGACTATGCATTTGTTAAAAGACACAGTAATTGGTTTTGGAGTCCAAAATAAAAAGGGCAAACCTCAGGCCTCCTTAGTATGGTTGCTACTGATGCGAATTCAGAATTGACAGGGAATGCGAATAAGAATAATTCCCTCTGATTCGGTAAAAAATGACTCGGTTTCTTAAATGGTTTGTCTCAGACCTGGACCATTTTTTGGAAAATGTTGGCTAGCCGAAAGAAAGTCACGCATGAACTTCAAAAGGTCCTGATTGAGGTCCATACTTTGAGATTGCATTGTTCTTGTTTAGAGTCCGTATTTATTCTTGTTGCATTCATCGGAAGTTTTAATAGCAGGCGATTTTAACCTACCACAAATTATTGACGCCACGTATAATTTCGAAAACGCAAGTGCTAAATGCAAAGTAATTAAAAATATAGCTTCGATTTACAACTTAAAACTCATTAATACACTTAAAAACTGCAATAATAGAACCCTTGACCTAATTTTAACTAACTTAACCGCGGAAATTAAATCTGCTGTCGACTCGCTGGATAAAATTAATCCACTTCATCCTGCACTAGAAATAGTCTACAAAGTCCATAGACCAGCTAAGCGAATTACTAAATTAACCAACTTCAATTTCAAAAAAGCAGATTTTCTTAAAATGTACGTCCTTTTTCGCGATATTAATTGGAAGGAGTCTCTTATCCTGAAGAATTTCAAATCGATAGATGATGCAGTAACTAGCTTTAATCAAACGGTAATGAACATTTTCGATGAATGTGTCCCCAATGTTACAATTAGGAGTGCCAATAAGTATCCTAGCTGGTTTAATATAGACATTATTAAGAAAATCAAACAGAAAAATAAGTTTCGGTTACAGGGCCAATCGGAAGACTTCATTGAAGCCAGAAAAGAACTCAAAAGAATGATCCACATTGCTCATAAGAGGTACATTAATCAAATTGAAATGGATCTGCGGAAGAATTCCAATAAATTCTGGAACTACATCAAGTCGTTGAGGAAGCATAGTCAACTACCTGGAGTTTTTGAGTACAAAGACACCTCGTTAACGGACGCCAGAAGCATTGCGGACGCCTTTGAGTCCTTCTTCGAGTCAGTCTACACTATGGAGAGGAACGATAACCCGGAAGATAACGTGGAATCGGACCTGGTGCTATCCAAATTGCACTTGACTCAGTTACATGAATCCGAGACACTGGAAGCAATTAAAAAATTGAAACCGAGGTCGGCTATGGGTGAAGATGGAATCCCACCCTACACCGTCAAAGGATGTGCATTTTTATTGGTAACCCCCTTACCACATCTATTTAATTTAGCTTTGCAATTGGAAATGCACCAGACTAACACCAATTCACAAAAGTGGAAGCCGAAAATTAGTTGAGAATTATCGCCCAATTGCAATTATACCAGCAAAATAGCGAAAATTTTTGAAAGAGTGATCTATACTAGACTTTATTCCCATCTCAGCAATATAATTGCAGATCAACAGCACGGTTTCACGCGGAACAAATCAACTATTACCAATTTAATGCAGTTTACGCATTTCTCAGCAGCAGCCTTGGATGAGAGAGCCCAGGTAGACTGTGTTTATACAGATTTTGCGAAGGCATATTTGACACAGTATCCCATCAAGTCTTGCTCCGTAGACTTGTTTTAAATTGCGTAAGTAATCCGACCGTCAAATTCTTGAAATCATATTTATCTCTCCGTAAAACAAGAGTGAAATTCAATGGTGTGAATTCAGCCGAATTTTATCCGTCATCAGGCGTTCCCCAGGGAACACTGCTTGGTCCTTTTCTGTTTCTCTTATACATAAATGATTTACCGCGAGTGATAAAAAACTCGAAAGCACTACACTATTTGCGGATGACCTAAAACTTTTTAAAAAAGTCCAATCCCCAAGTGACTGTTTAAATATTCAAGAGGACATTAACTCAGTAATTAAGTGGTGTATCAAAAATAAACTAAAACTAAATATCAAGTGTAAAGTCCTTACTTTTACTAGATCGAAAAATCCCTTACTTTTTGACTATAAGATGAATGGAAAGGTCTTACTACGAGTCACCTCCGTTAAGGACCTGGGCGTGTTTTTCAATACCAACCTTAACTTCAACTTACACATTGAATACCTAACAAATGAGTGTTACAAACTTCTTGGTTTCGTTATCAGAAATACACTCAATTTCACGAATATACAGACAATGCTAACCTTATATAATGCGTTTATTAGATCCAAGCTTGAGTATGCTGCACGTATCTGGTCTCCTCAAACTCTCAAATACTCAGACATGATCGAAAAGGTGCAGAAAAAGTTCATCCGAGTAATGTTTTTTAGGTCAACCCAAAATTATCCACATTTGATCTCTTACGGTACCCAGCTTAATTACTTAAATAGTACTTTCGGCTTAGATATAACGAGGTTAGAAACCCGACGGTACATTGCCTCCACAATTTTTGTCTTCAAAATTTTACACAATTTGTTATACTCTTCCGAATTACTTCAAGAAATTAAGCTTAAGGTACCATTTGCTAAGCTAAGGCAAAATAATACTATTTTTGCAGTTAACAACACAACTTCCCCACTTATTAAGATCTTGATCACTTTAAATAAGTTGTCCTCAGTTAATGATATCGACTTTTTCACGATCCCCTAAATTCAATAATAAATAAAATTAGATCTTAAGTCCTAATATTTGTTCAGAGCCCCAGTGCCATGTAATTGGAATTTTTATTATGTATGGTTTCTGGTTAAACAAATAAATAAATATTATTCTATTTTAATTGTAAATAGACTTGACACCTGACTATGGAACTCAGTCCTAGAACTGCCTTCACTTGGTCCGGAAGTCTAGTAAGATTGGATGTCATGATCCATTCCTTCCCCCTAGCCTTCCCCTCTACCCCTTTATGATCGAGTACAGATTATTTTAATATTTTATTATCATGTTACCGTCCTTTGAAGATTTATGTCTGTACAAGACAATGCTATTTTGCTACTACCTTCTTGTGCATAAATGCCAAATGTAGTACTTTTCGAATTATTTATTATTTAAATACTGTTGATCTCAAAGTCCTATTATGTATATGTCATACAGGTATCATACTCTTATACCATTTTTTTTTATAGGCATCGGCTTCTATGGCCATTAGCCTTACTTCACTTTTCGAATTGGCATATTTTGACGGTTATAGCCTATTCAATATACCGATGTTTCTCATAAAATTTATTGTGTTTACACATTCACAATGAGACAGGTTATGTCCTAGCAAAATGTAGACGCGTGGGATCTACCTATATGTATTCTTGTGTATTTCTGTGAAAGATTATTATTATTATTACGAAATTCTAAAATGCAAATTGGAAACGAAGTAAGTGGGCACATTTCCTGGAAGGTTTCCAGTGGCTCCCTTTTCTTCCTTGTAATCAATGAAGTCCCTAGAGCTACCCTTGTGTGATTATGAGAGAGAAACTCCTGCTTGTATTGCGATTTTGAAATACCAGTCGGTAATTTCAGACGACCCACTACCACTAGAGGACGTCGAAGAGCCTGAAGAAGTGGAATCCGCAGAGGAGAATGATTACGTTGAGATATAAATGAATGTGTGAATATTTTGATAGGAAAATACTGTTTTTATACGAATAAATGGTACATAAATATACTTTGTTTTACAATGAATATTTCCTCACATGAAAGTTGAAGGTGAAAGGTGACTTTACGCCAACTCCTCAGTTACCTACATCGTATGAAATTTCACGAAGACTATTCACAGTAAACATATTTCATCTAGTCCTAAAGGTCGCGATATATTTGCAAAAAAAATCGCAAAAGTATGGATACCGCGTATGCCGTACAGCCTGTGTATGAATCGTGTTACCTTTTTAAACAAGTCGGCCATTTTCTATGTGGCACATGTGTCATTTAAGTAACATCATTTTTTACGAGTTTTTGCGCTTAAATTGAGAGGAAATACACAAAAACCAACTTAAAATCATTATGAATTGTGCAGATTGTGGATCCAAAAGCCGGAGTGAGAAGGAGGAACCA